ATCTTGGCTAGGAGAATATTTTAAAAGGGAATTATGGAGGAGACTTGCTATCTTGGCTAGGAGGATTTTTTTCAAAGGGAATTATGGAGAAGACCAACCATCCTGCCTCAGAGATTTTTTTATAGAAGGGAATCAAGGAGGAGACGAACCATCATGGTTGGGAAGATATTTGTTTTAGAAGGGATTTATGGAGAAGACTACCCATCTTTGCTAGGGGATATTTTTCAAAGGAATTAATAAGGATATTATAACCATCTTGGCTAGGAGGATATATTGTTGTTTTTTCCATTTTTTTAAAATTGTTTTATTTTTATAGAAGGATATTTCATTAAGTATTAGATATCATGACAAAGGACGAATTAGTTATAATGCAGGCTAGGGGGCTTACTTTGTTAATAAGGAAAAAGGATTTAGTTGAAGGATAAAATGGAAGGAAGGGTTTTACGTTTATGCGTGGAAGATAAGGAAAATGACAAACGTTTATTAATAATAGAACAAGTGAGAATTGTGTAAAGATAAGAAAGTACGGTCTCTACATTCTCGACAACAAATCACCCACTCTTTATGGCATTTATGTCAAATCACAGACAACTTGCAATTGTAGCAGATTACTTAGGATCAGCACCGCTAAATTCTGATCGTAATGCCCCTGAAGGACAAGCTCGTGGCGAATCACAGACAACTTGCAACTGTAGCAGGTTACTTATGATCTGCACCGCTAGGTTCTGACCCAATGCTTCACAAGGACAAGCTTTTGTCAAATCACAGACAACTTGCGACCGTAGCAGATTACTTACGATCAACACTGCTCCGCATATGAGAAGGGCTGTGCTCTTGGTGATATGGGAGACGAAGTAATCATAATGCTTCACAAGGACAATCTAATGTCCAATCACAGACAAATTACAACTGTAGCAAATTACTTATGATCTGCACCTCTAGGTTCTGATCATAATGCTTCACAGGGACAAGCTTTTGTCTAATCACAGACAAATTGCGACTATAGCAGATTACTTACGATCAGCACTGCTCCGCGTATGAGAAGGCTTGTGCTCTTGGTGATATGGGAGACGAAGTGAACCAGGGCAGGCCTGCATCCAGGGCGACCAGTCAATGCAATAATCTGTGGCCTGTACAGGGAACAACTATCCACAAATTGAAAGAAAGAGGGAATAGAACCTGGGACCTCCGGATTGCCATTCCAGTGCTCTACCAACTGAGCTACCAAGCTCCATCGTGTTTAGTCTCCCACTTTGTCAATGTCTATGTTAAGAATAGACATTGGTCAGAGTTGTAATGACTCGAGTCGACTCGAGTCACAATTTTATGCAGAATTTATGTTCATGTTACTTATTTGCAAATACAGTTCGGTACAGCCGCCGCTTGTAGTGTACAAACATACAACGTGTCACAGACTCCCGCCTTGTGGTTCTGGAACGCACAAAATAATATTCCGGAACCGGACTTTAAACGCATTTTCCAATCCGTGGTTTCATCATTGGCTTTGGGCGATTTCTTATTAAGCTATATGATTCCAACGCCGTCTAAATGTATACCCTCCTTTTAAAAATTAAACAGATACTTGCCCACTTTAAAAATTCAGAAACAGTTCTGTATAATGCAATGTGGTTGTCAGCGATCAGCAACACCTCATGTGCGAGCTTGTGCAGTTCAGTTCCTAAAGAATGAGTGTCATATTTGGTTGAATTCTGTATTCTATTGTACAACACTGTATTTATTCCTGGATGAATCCATACAACCATAGAGTGCTGGGGCGGTTTGGGGCGGTATAAGGAGTAACAGGCAGGGCACTTTGAGGGGCAGGGACTAATGGCTTCATTGGATTATGCTTAGTGCTTTTTTAATCATTTGGATAATGGCTAAGTGAACATGCTTCTATAGACGAGCTACGTTCATTTATTGATTATCTGGTGATCCTAAATTGAAGGTTATGCGACTCTGCCAATATCACAAGAAGGAAGATTGTGTTGACTGACCAATGGCTATGCAGGCAGCTGTGATAAAGAACGCCAGGATGTGGGCTCTACGTGGCTCATCCCCCGGCCTAGAACCAACAGCACAGAACTCCATCTTGGGCAAAATCTTGTCCTTGTACCGGCCTGCAGAAAAAGAAAAACAACAGTCAATTGTTATTTAATGATCGTTAACTTGGTTATCGTTAAGATCAGAGTAAACCTGAAGTTAACACAACCTAGATATACCTCACGGTATACCAAACGTTAAATCTGACACCGTGGCAGCAAGGAGATTTCCACCTTTCTATGAATATGCCTTTGAATGAGCATGACGACTATTTATAAAAGATATAGACATATATCATACTCGGCAATAGGGATAGTCAGTGGAAAGAACTTGGGACAGGTGTGTACAAAGTTACACGCAAGACCCAGACTTTTTTTAAGCGAATTACTGAGAAGACGACCATAATTATTGGTAATGAGGATACTTTTATTATGGAGTAGATTAACCATCTTGGTTAGGAGGATATTTTTTTAGAAGGGAATTATGAAGGAGACTAACCATCTTGGCTAGGAGGATATTTTTTAGAAGGGAATTATGGAGGAGATTTACCATCTTGGCTAGGAGGATATTTTTTAGAAGGGAATTATGGAGGAGACTAACCATCTTGGCTAGGAGGATATTTTTTAGAAGGGAACTATGGAGGAGACTATAACCAGCTTGGCTCGGAGGATATTTTTAGAAGGAAAATATGGAGGAAATTGATCATCTTGGCTGAGGATATGTTTAAGAAGGGCACTATGGAGGAGACTAACCATCTTGGCTCGGAGGTTTAAAAAAAAAAAGAATTATGGAGAAGACTAACCATTGTGGCTAGGAGGATATTTTTAGAAGGAATTTATGGAAGAGACTAACAATCTAGGCTAGAAGGACATTTTTTTAAGAAGGGAATTATGGAGGAGACGAACCATCATGGTTAGGGAGACATTTGTTTTAGAAAGGATTAATGGCTAGGAGGATATTTTTAGAAGGAAAATATGGAGGAAATTGATCATCTTGGCTGAGGATATGTTTAAGAAGGGCACTATGGAGGAGACTAACCATCTTGGCTCGGAGGTTTAAAAAAAAAAGAATTATGGAGAAGACTAACCATTGTGGCTAGGAGGATATTTTTAGAAGGAATTTATGGAAGAGACTAACAATCTAGGCTAGAAGGACATTTTTTTAAGAAGGGAATTATGAGGGAGACGAACCATCATGGTTAGGGAGACATTTGTTTTAGAAAGGATTAATGGCTAGGAGGATATTTTTAGAAGGAAATTATGGAGAAAGCTACAACCATCTTGGCTAGGGGAATATGTTTTTAAAGGAATTAATGAGGATATTAACCATCTTGGCTAGGAGGATATATTGTTGTTTTTTCCATTTTTGTGAAACTGTTTTATAGAAGAATATTTCATCAAGTATTAAAAATCGTGACCAAGGACGAATTAGTTATAATGCAGGCTGGGGGGCCTACTTTGTTAATGAGGAAAAAGGATTTAAACAATTTGAAAGAAGGAGGTTAATCGAAACATTTTCCAGATCCCCTCCCCCAACTTGACATCGCACCCCAAGCCAAAGCTAGATCCACCCCTGTTTATTTAGGATTTCACGCTAGTTTCTGCTATAGTGAGTAGGTTTGCGTAACTGTGAAGTAAGTGCCCTTAGATTAGCCACTCATTATTTTCATGGGAATTGCCAACACTACAACAGACATTTTTGCATGACACTTAAAAAATTACGGCTGTTGCAAAAGTGTAAACAATCAGTTACAGAGGATTACTTCTGTGTTTACAGGGATAGCGCAGATTTTCTGTGCAAGCGTGCTGTAAGCACAGAGTGAGATTCTACCTTCTCTTTGAGCGTAGTGACTCCTCCTTGCTGATCTTCCAAGAAAACTTCTCAGTGGTCTCCCCTGCTTCCTCATCCAGCATCCAGGGTTAATTTGTTCAGCTCCTTAAACCGTCTCACCCCCGGGCGAGGGGGGGGGAGTTCAATCTGCGTTGAGACTAACAAAATGTGTCGCTGAAATTTGGAACAGCATTGAAACGCTAATATGGCCTGATATGTGTCGAGGTGTCCCAAGGCGTGCAGTTTTCTAATGTAAGGGGCAACACCACACGGGCCACAAAATCCCCCGAAACCGCGTTCGCTGATGAGGGCCTGATGTAGCGGCACTTGTGGAGCTGTCGACAGTCCAATTTCAACGTGACACACACTGAAAAAACACAGCGCGGTGCACGGGTGCTCACACGATCAATGGACCGCTGAAATATTGAATCTTTCTGGAAGTCAAATTATGCATAATGATGCAGCGTGAACCATGCACAAAAATGTCCATTTACAAGGTTCACGCCGTGTGCGCTTCGTGTATGCTTTGTGCACGCATCCAGGACAGCTACATTTGTTCTGATTCGCTGTTTCTACCATGTCAATATTTGTTGCATGTTTGATGTATTTTAACAAATGATTGAATTTACGAGTTTCCGAATGTCTCAGCGATTCTGTTTTGATGCTGGCCCAAAGCTGGCCCAACGTCGGCGCAGCGTTTACAGAAACACCGATATGGCCTGAAATGTGGCGAGTTCAATGCTGTTTTCTAATGTGAGGGATATAGCACCGCACGGGCCACAAAATCCCCTCAAACCGCGTTCACTGAGGGGTTGATGCGGCGCAATGTGTGGACGGCTCACCGTGCGTTATTCAATGGGAACGTGAAAACAGCGCGGTATGAAGCGGGTGAAACGGCCACAATGCCGATGTTTCTGGACGGCCAATTTATTCAAAGCAATGCAGCGTGAACCATGCACGAAAAACTTCACTTGCAAGGTTCACGCTCTGTGTGTTTTGTATGCGTAGGATCACCTAACAATTTGTTCCAATTCACTGTTTCTGTATGGCATGTGCAGCAAGAGTTCACAAATACTTCCATTTTACAAGTTTCCGAATTTCTCAGTGAATTGGCTTTTATTGATGTGTAACAGAATCTGACAAAGTTTCCATTCTTTATTGACACTTTTCCCCTCTAATTACTTACATTTACTTGTTTATAGAGCCTAGAATTATGCTAGCCACAATATGCTGTTGAAGGAAGTTTCATTCCATTGTACATGTAGATAAGACATTGTATGTGTTTGGTGAACTGGCCTATACTTGCTGCACACACTGGGTTGTTTATGTGCACAGCCATCTTTGTTATTGTTCAACTACATGTGCATTCTTAAGGAGGCAGCCATGTTTGTTTGGTCATGTGATCAAAGTTTTCTACATGTAAAACAGTCCAAACATTAAGTGAGAGGTCCTTTTTGATATTGTGATACTTTAGTTTGATTGTAATTTAGTTTTTGTTGTAGACTATAGTGACTTTGAGGAAAATTGTGCAACTTTTACTTTTCCCATAATGCATTGCTTCTTGCACATGGCCTGATTCTCCAACAATGTGCTCAGCAGTTTGCTGCGCTGAGGATGATCTAATCCGCTTTTTTCTGCAACCATCCTAAGATTATTTAGCACACCCACTACAGGCCCACGAGGTAAATATCCTACTTAGTAATATTGCATCAGTTTTACTCTCTTAAATGTAGGATTAAGTTAGAAAATAATGGTTTATTAAGTCAAGTAATTGTGTCTTTTATGCATGCATGTTACTGACTAGTATAGTAATGCAAATGTCCATTGTCATTTCTTTAGGTCATATGAGTCTCATTGAATAATTCCTTGTGAAGACTAAATTTACCACATTAACCTTCAAATTGTTGAGATCTATACTTATGATTATCATTGTTATTTGCTTGTCAGATCTCACGGTGTTCATCTTTGGAGACAGTTCATTGTCAACATTAAAGTCAGACATGACAGAGACATCAGTACAGATCGTGTCCGCCTACATTTTGCTTTGGTAGTTGGGTGCAGCTACAGTGAGATCTCCACGCCATCTAGTCCAGATGTAGAGATTTCTTGAGTGAAGCGTGGAACGGAATCCAGAGAGCTGTTGTCTTGCTTACAGCTGGCCCATGACGAACGGAACAAGGCTAGCCCATGACGAACGGAACGAGGCTAGGCGAAGGACGAGTAGCACAGACGGAATGCAGCAGATTCGAGATTCGAGCACGGGAACAGCATGCAGTACGTGAACCACCGGATCAGCGGATACCCGGTAAGACAGCGACGGAACCAGTCAAGGAGACGAGAGAGCTGATCCACATCGTCATGATTGTGCACAAGAAATGTCAGCCATGTCAGCAGGACTAAACGCTAAACGAACTGTACATCAAGGAACTGTGAGCGGAATCCTTTAAAGAACAGTTGGTCATTGACGGTTTCATAACCAAATAATGTTGTGAATGTATTTTATCTGGAACAAACGAATGTAAAGAGTGTACTTTATATTGTTGGGATCAGAGTTTCTAGATAATCTACCCCTTGTTCAGCCTTGCATGAAGTCAGCTGTGTATACATTAATTTCTGCTCTGTGTGATATATTGCTATAGTGTGCGAAAATCATTTGCATTTTGTTGTTCACACTGTTCGACACCATTGTTTGCTAATCGATTTCTCCTCATTGCTCTATTTCACCCAATTGTGTAGTGTTGAATGCGTGTGTTGACAAGCTATTATTTCGTATGTAGTGCAATTCACTTGAAACTTGTTATACACAAAACTAATGCCATGTCATTTCATGAAATTGTTGTATTTTCATCTTGCATCAATCATGTGGCATTTGTAATGTAAGCCACATGCTCTTGTCATTTACGAATTCTATTTCTGCCAAGTACTATTCCTAAGGTCCCAAAATGTCGAGTAATGAAGTGGAGGATCAAGCTAAGGAGTTAGAAGAAGGAATAGAAGAATGTACTGCAGCTCTAGAGTCAGTAGATGATCCTGTAGAAAGAGAGAGCATTTTGAAAGATGTCAGCAGCAAGCAAGAAGAACTCTTCAAACTAAGCAAACCTTCCGAGAGTGAAACCCGGAAAAGCAGCAGAACGAGACACCCCACGACCAAGATGGCGGAGCTTCAAGAAGCAGATAAAGTCAAAAGAGAAGGAAAACTAAAGAAAGTCTTCGTCCAAAATTACGAGTCGTGGAAGGAATGCTGTAAAAATGCAAGACAGAAGTTGAAGGGTTACTGCACAGGCTTCACACTGAATGACATTTCTTCATCGCTACACATCGCACGAGATGAGCTGATCGATGCATATGATGCTTGTCGACAACTTGGGCCCCCTGAACAGGAAATGCGACGCCGGGTCGACACATGCTCAGCTATAACACAACAGCTACTGAAGGTTGTCGTCGCCAAAGAAGATGCAGATACAACACACATTTCCAGTGAGTTGAGACGGCTTCTGCACACCGATGACAACGCATCAGTTTTCTCATCGAAAGCGTCAAGCCAAGCGTCATCTCGCTGGTCTGAAAGTTCATCTGCCAGACGGGCTAAGGCTGCTGCCGAATTAGCAGCCAGAAAGGCAGAAATCAAAGTGCTGGAAGTCAAACAGCAAAAGCAAGCAGAGCTAGATGAACTACAACGGCAACAAGAAGAAATGCAACGACTGCAGGAGAAGAAAAGGAGAGAAATAGAACGACTGGAAAAGGAAAAGGAGTTGGAGACGGCCCGTGCCAAATTTGAAGTATATGACCAGGAGTGCAAAGGCAGTCGAGAGAAGAGTCACAGCAGTAACTCTCCTGATGAGCCATCCCCTTGGCCAACCGAGGTGAAACACGAGGCTCAAAAGAAACAACCAAGTCCAGTCCAAGCATCAGAAGGCGGTGAAGTAGCAGCTCTAGCCCGCAGTCTCCGAGATTGTATGACAATCCATAAGTTGCCTCCCCCAGAACCCAGCGTGTTTACGGGAGATCCCATCCGCTATGTTGAGTGGAAGGCGAGCTTCAAGACACTTATCGAGTCAAAGGCAATCTCCACACCAGAAAGAGTGTATTACCTTAAACGATACCTGGGTGGAGATGCACAGAAGGCTGTGGAAGGTTTCTTCTACAGCACATCAGACGAGAGCTATGAAGGTGCATGGCGTCTACTCGAGGAACGTTACGGACATCCTTTCAAAGTTCAGAAGGCCTTCCGTGATAAGTTATCAAAGTGGCAAAAGATAGGCCCAAAGGATGCCAACAGTTTGCAGCAGTTTGCAGACTTTCTTAAAGCATGCAAGGACGCCATCCCCCATGTCCCTGCTCTGAAGATACTTGATGATTGTGAGGAGAACAGGCGTCTGCTCTCCAAATTGCCAGACTGGGCTGCAGCTCGATGGAATAGACAAGTTACAAAGAAACTTGACGAAACACTCAACTACCCTGGTTTTGAAGAGTTTGTCGAGTTTGTACGCAAGGAGGCCCGGGTAGCATGCAATCCAATCTCATCATTGCATGCACTGAAGGCAACAGACGAATCAGAGACAGAGCAGACACAAGGCGGCAGTAGAAGAGCCAACCGAAGCAGGGGCACAGCACTAACAGTTGGATCAAATGAGATCAACAAGATGCCCAAGGAAGGCCAGACATCAACCAAGAGCATGTTCCAACCAAAACCATGCCAGAATTGCAGGAAGACAGATCACCACATCGATAAATGCCCTGGCTTTGGCACTAAGTCTCTTGCTGAAAGAAGAAAATTCATCCAAGAAAACAGATTGTGCTTTGGCTGCCTTAAGAAAGGTCACCTGTCCAAGGAATGCCGACGAAAACTGACTTGCGACAAGTGCAAGAGAAGGCATCCTACAATCCTGCATGACGATGCACTGATGCGGAGCGATGACTCCAACCACGTGGAGAAGTCGCCAAAGGGAGAGAAACCCAAAGAAGTTGCGGTTGTGTCATGTGGCGTCCAGATGGGAAGTGGATGGGGGACTTCAATGATAGTCCCAGTGTGGGTGTCGTCTGTGGATTCTCCTTCAATGGAAGTCTTGACGTATGCCCTACTAGACACTCAGAGTGACTGCACATTCATTTTAGACAACACTGCCAGTTCTATTGCGGCACGTTGTGAGTCAGTTCGACTTAAACTTGCTACGATGACTTCGGCGTCCTCCATGATTGATTGCAGTGCAGTCACCAACCTAATTGTCAGAGGTATGCATTCATCTAACAGAATACGAATTCCACGGGCATACACGAGAGAGTTCATCCCAGTCAACAAGTCCACCATCCCGACGACGGACACAGCAAGAAGATGGCCACACCTTGAAAGAATAACCCATGAGATGGCGCCCCTGCAGAACTGCGAGGTTGGAATGCTCATTGGTTACAATTGTCCACAAGCTTTGGCACCACGAGACACAATAGTTGGACAAGATGATGAACCGTATGCTGTCAAGACTGATCTTGGTTGGACCATCGTCGGTTATGATGATCCAAGCGCCAATAGTTATGCCACAAGTGTCTGCCACCGAGTTTCAGCGACGGAGGCCCCATGTATACCTCCTTCAAATGTAATCAGAGCATTAGAAGCCGACTTTTCGGAGAAACGCCATGCAGAGAAAACCGTATCCCAAGAAGATATTCAGTTTCTTAACATCATGGAAAAAAACATTCACCAGACCAGCAGTGGTCACTACACCATGCCACTTCCATTCAGAGATGGCAAGCCAACGCTGCCAAACAACAAGAAGACGGCTATAGTTCGTCTCAATCATCTAAACAGGAAGTTTAGCACCAACCAGAAGTACCATGCTGACTACACAAAGTTCATGGAAGATGTAATAGAGAAAGGTGATGCTGAGAAGGTTGAGAGCCACGGAGAGGAAGGAAGGGTTTGGTACATCCCACATCACGGCGTGTATCACCCTCGGAAGCCTGGGAAGATCAGAGTCGTATTTGACTGTTCAGCGCGACATGCCGGAACTTCTCTGAATGGTCATCTTCTCACCGGACCTGACCTGATCAACAACTTGACTGGGGTTCTACTTCGATTTAGAGAACATCCCATAGCTGTCATGTGTGACATTGAGAGGATGTTCCATCAATTCCTTGTGAACGAAGAAGACCGTGACTACTTGCGGTTTCTATGGTGGGAAAATGGCGACCCAAGCAATGGTCCAGCGGAGTATCGCATGAAAGTGCACCTATTTGGTGCAGCTTCTTCGCCGGGATGTGCCAACTATGGCTTGAAACATTTGGCCAGTCGGCATGAGAACGAGTTCCCACTAGCAGCAACCTTTGTCAAGAGGAACTTCTACGTCGATGATGGTCTCAAAAGTACTGAAACGGAAGACGAAGCAAAGAGATTAGTGGCCGAGGCCCAAGAGTTATGTGCCAGAGGAGGGCTACGACTACATAAATTCATCTCAACCAGTAGAGAAGTCATGGAGGCCATTCCAGTGGATGAACGTGCCGCTGGAGTAAAGGATGTGGATCTTAGCCGAGATGATCTCCCCACAGAGAGGGCTCTCGGCATTCAATGGTGTGTAGAGGCAGACATGTTCAACTTCCACATCGAAGCTAAGGATCAGTCACTAACACGTCGGGGAATCCTGTCCACGGTTGCCTCCATCTATGACCCTCTTGGGTTCCTTGCCCCATTTGTACTCATTGGCAAGGGAATTCTCCAAGAAATGTGTCACAGCGGATCGGATTGGGATGATCCACTTCCTGATAAGCTGCACCCACGGTGGGAGAAGTGGAAGGATGACCTTGTAAATCTGAAGCAAATCCAGATACCCAGGTGCTACAAGCCAAGTGACTTTGGGAAGGTCATCGCGGTGGAGCTCCATCATTTCTGTGACGCCAGTACAAGAGGATATGGCCAGTGTTCATATTTGCGATTCATCGGAGAAGATAAGGTGCATTGCACACTGGTGTCAGGAAAGGCCAGAGTTGCTCCGATCAAAGTTGTCACCATTCCCCGCCTCGAGTTGACAGCCGCAGTAGTGTCGGTACAGATAAGCCACATGCTAAAGGAGGAATTAGAGCTAGTCATCGACAGGGAATACTTCTGGACAGACTCTCAAGTCGTCCTTGGATATATATGTAATGAGGCAAGACGGTTCCATGTATTTGTGGCCAACAGGGTCCAGAAAATCAGGCAGTACTCAGAGCCCAGTCAGTGGCACTACGTGCCGACGGAAGTGAACCCTGCTGATCATGCCTCAAGAGGAGTCCTTGCCAAAGAGTTGGTGGCCTCAAACTGGTTCAGAGGCCCAGAATTCCTGTGGAACAAAGAGATGGTGATTGCAGAAGAGCCAGTCCGTGAATTAAGCGTCGGTGATCCAGAAGTAAAGAGTGTGACGTCCCTGCAAAGTGCTGTTACACCAGAGGTATTTGACTGGGAGGATCGCCTGTCTCGCTTCTCAGATTGGTCAAAGGTATTGGGAGCTGTGGCACGCATAAGACGACTGAATCGGAAAGAAAAGGATAACAGCCTCTCTACCCCGCAAGAACAAACAGAGGCAGAAATGCACATCGTACGATCAGTACAGAGGCAAGCCTTCCCACAGGAAATTCAGTCATTGAGGAACTCAAGCAGAGTGAAGGCAACTAGTAAAATCTGCAGCCTGAATCCATTCCTGGACAGTGACGGAATTCTAAGAGTCGGTGGACGTCTGAGAAATGCAGAAGTTCCAGACAGCGTCAAACATCCAGCCATTCTTCCAAAAGATGGGCAAGTAACGAGGTTGCTCATCTCGTACTTCCACAACAAAGTCCAACACCAGGGAAGAGGAATGACCTTCAATGAAGTAAGAGCTGGTGGATACTGGATAATCGGAGGAGTGAAGGTAGTTGCCACTCACATCCACAAGTGCGCAACTTGTCGTCGTCTGCGGCGCCCAGTGGAAGAACAGAAGATGGCCGACCTTCCAAAGGATAGAGTAGAGCCTTCCCCACCGTTTACATTTTGTGGCATGGACTGCTTCGGACCATTCACCGTCAGGGAAGGCAGGAAGGAGATCAAGAAGTATGGAGTCATATTCACATGCATGTCCTCACGTGCTGTACACATTGAAATGGTGGACGACATGACCACCGATTGCTTCATCAATTCACTTCGATGCTTCATTGCCTTGAGAGGTCCTGTACAGCAGTTGCGTTCTGACCAGGGATCCAATTTTGTCGGAGCTAAGAACGAATTTCGAGAGGCATTGAAGGAACTGGATATGGAGAGAGTTCAAGGCTTCTTGGCAAAGCGGCAATGTCAATTTGTCATGAACGCTCCACACTCAAGTCATGTTGGTGGCGTGTGGGAGCGTCAAATCAAGACGGTCAGAAGCGTTCTCTCATCCATAATCCAGCAGTCTCCAGGTAGACTTGACGCTGCAACCTTGCGTACATTTCTCTACGAAGCCATGGCTATTGTGAACAGTCGTCCACTCACAACAGTTAATCTTCACGATCCACTCAGCCCTGAACCACTTACACCTAATCACCTTCTCACCATGAAGTCTACAGCAGCCTTACCACCTCCTGGAAAATTCGTGAAGGAAGACCTGTACATCAGGAAACGCTGGAGGAGGGTTCAGTATCTGGCTGAACAGTTTTGGGGAAGATGGAGGAAGGAATACCTCTCTTCTCTCACTTCACGTCAAAAGTGGCACACACCAAGACGAAACATCAAGGTGGGAGATGTGGTGCTGCTGAAAGACGAAGAGGCCCCTCGAATGGAATGGCCATTGGCTATTGTGATCGAAACCATAGAAAATGATGACGGCCTTGTCAGGAGAGCCAGAGTAAGGGTTGGCACTAAGCATCTGGACAAAGAAGGGAGACGAACAGGCAAACCGTCCATTCTTGAGCGACCAATCCAGAAGCTAATTCTCCTTCTTGAGACGAAGTAGATGGATTACCCTTCTGGCGATAGCCAATCCACTCATCCTGTTAGAGACGCTGCTAGCGTAAATGCTTAAGGCATATCTTCATCTTGACAGTTTAATATAAGGACTTTGTATGTTAACCAAAACTGTTCTGTTAGTTTGTAGTCGAAAGTAGTTTTGAAATTACCATGATATACTACAATTGTTGTTTCTAATTGCTAATTTGTGTAGTTGTAGTATCTTGCCATGTAGTTACATAGATCAGTGGTAATTTGGTGGGAGTGTAACAGAATCTGACAAAGTTTCCATTCTTTATTGACACTTTTCCCCTCTAATTACTTACATTTACTTGTTTATAGAGCCTAGAATTATGCTAGCCACAATATGCTGTTGAAGGAAGTTTCATTCCATTGTACATGTAGATAAGACATTGTATGTGTTTGGTGAACTGGCCTATACTTGCTGCACACACTGGGTTGTTTATGTGCACAGCCATCTTTGTTATTGTTCAACTACATGTGCATTCTTAAGGAGGCAGCCATGTTTGTTTGGTCATGTGATCAAAGTTTTCTACATGTAAAACAGTCCAAACATTAAGTGAGAGGTCCTTTTTGATATTGTGATACTTTAGTTTGATTGTAATTTAGTTTTTGTTGTAGACTATAGTGACTTTGAGGAAAATTGTGCAACTTTTACTTTTCCCATAATGCATTGCTTCTTGCACATGGCCTGATTCTCCAACAATGTGCTCAGCAGTTTGCTGCGCTGAGGATGATCTAATCCGCTTTTTTCTGCAACCATCCTAAGATTATTTAGCACACCCACTACAGGCCCACGAGGTAAATATCCTACTTAGTAATATTGCATCAGTTTTACTCTCTTAAATGTAGGATTAAGTTAGAAAATAATGGTTTATTAAGTCAAGTAATTGTGTCTTTTATGCATGCATGTTACTGACTAGTATAGTAATGCAAATGTCCATTGTCATTTCTTTAGGTCATATGAGTCTCATTGAATAATTCCTTGTGAAGACTAAATTTACCACATTAACCTTCAAATTGTTGAGATCTATACTTATGATTATCATTGTTATTTGCTTGTCAGATCTCACGGTGTTCATCTTTGGAGACAGTTCATTGTCAACATTAAAGTCAGACATGACAGAGACATCAGTACAGATCGTGTCCGCCTACATTTTGCTTTGGTAGTTGGGTGCAGCTACATGATGGGCCCACCTATGAACTGATATTTGGTGCGGTTTACGCCGAGGCCACCGTGCAGTTTTCTAATGTAAGGGGACGCAACCACTCAGGCCACAAAATCAACTAAAACCGCGTTCGCTGAGGGCTAGTGCGAATGACGGTTGATTTGTATTGAATTGCATGGGAAGTCGCCGCGGTTACACAGGCGATCGTGAACCGCCAGAATGCTGATTTTTCTGCATTGAGGGGCCTGGATCTTCTTTGCAAAGGACCCACAAAGTCGCTGATAAAGCACCAAAACAGAGGCACATGTATTCCCCACCCTCAGTGGAAGCCGCCCCCACCCCCGCCCCATTTTGAAAACCTGAATTACATTCACTGTTGTAATAATACTTTTATTTTGCATTTAGTGCAGCCTTTGAAAAAAAAAACGCACCCCAGGTGCCCTACCCCAAGTTAAACCCAAGCGTCTCCGCTGGCTTGAGTACGATTTAATTCCTCATATAATCCCGAATATATCCACACAATTTAATAGACTGAAGCGCCAACTGTACATTGAATGAATCACGGCCGGTGTATACGTCACTTGTCTATCCACCAATCACAGTTTGTAGGTGACAAGTCGGTGACGACAAGTCGGTGACCACAAGTGAGTGGTCTGTGACTGACAGGTTGTGTGTGTCAATCATAAATTCCATATTTGGATGTGTCACCGACATCCATACAATATCCACCAATAAGAAGTGGCCATTTCAATCTCGGTGACTAGTTTTTATGGTGACTTTATATAGTCTCAACGACATTAACACTGCTTTCGTATCATTAATATGAAGCGAGTCGGTGATGTGTGATTGACAGCGTACAGGAGCCATGCAATCACAATCCAGGTCCGAGTTTTTAGTCACTGCTCAGGAAATCGATGGCACTATTTAAGACATGTGGGGCCGTCCACCCTTCATATCAACCACAGGTCACCTTCGGACGACAACCAGAGAGAGAACTGACTGCAAGAACAAGATTTTGCTCGGTGAGTGTTTGAAACAATCATTTTTTCTCTGAAGAAATTTGTTGTTTTTGCACAATGTGTTTGAGTCAATGCGGGATTCAGATTTTGTTGAATGTTGCTGATTCAATGATTCTCCAAACAGCGAGCGCGGTGGTAGGCTTGATATTTTCCCGTCTTTGTGTGCTTGTGAAAATGTGGTAGCTTGAGGACTGAAAAAAAACCAAGATTTTTATGAACAAATTGTTCTTTTTCATTTCACTATGACTCTGATACACGTCTGCTAACAGCAAAACCAGCGCGCTAATTCCGATACAGAAGTTGTGCCTTTTCCCAACGACCACTTTGGAGTTGATAAAGTATCGCGATGATTTACAAATGTGTTTGAAATTAACTTGTTCAGACGGGCTTTGTTTGTGCATAACATGCACTAAGCCTTTCTGAAAGAGTTAATTTCAAACACTTTTGTAAATTATCGAGCTATTTTATTTTAGCTCTTACTGTAAACAGTTGGTGCGGATGCAGACCACGGTTTTGTGAGGTCAAATTTAAGTCAACAACAATGAGGAATTCCTGTCTGGCAATATTTCCGTTACTACTTCCATTGTGCACTCTCAAATATAAATTGTCCAAATACTGACTGGTTTCTTTACTTCTTGAACAAAAATCATTAAGGTTTCTTGTCGATATGGATAATACACTACGAAGTAACATTTGTGGATTTTTTTTAAATTTAGGTTCGACTGTTATGTTGGACTGTTTTCTGACGGCAGTTTTTCGCAAGTATAAAACATCAAGTTCCCTGCTGTGATTCAGAACAGTAAAGATGTATTGATCATTCAAAATAATATTTCAGAGGAACTACAAATCGGTGTTTCACATTTCGGTTTCAAAAAAAAAAAGACTCGCAAAACCTGGACTCTTTATAACCTGGCCAATTTTTTTTGGCATGATCAAGCACACTCTTATTTTTGGCCTCTTTTTTCCTATTGACTTTATCGTTGAAATTTTCAAACATGAATCCTAGTGCAATGTACTGACATTATTTCCGGATATCACTCAAACTCAATCAGAATGAAAACTTATGCGGAAGTTGGTCACGGAAGAACGTATACAGATATCCGGACATCTCAAAATGCCGGTCTTATTTGTTATATTATTTGTGGTTATTCTCAGTGACTTTGAACTTTGTTGTTCAACTGGCATTTTGCTATAGTTCACAGTGCGCCATTCCGGTTTCATCAAGTTACTTTTAAGCATTGCAGGATAAAAGTGTCACTGGTCAGAATAGACTAGAGGGCGCAAATACAAACGCACTGGATCATGATGATGCACACAGTTTTATACAAGTTCAAAAGCTGGATGCATTTTGTAGAATTCATGGATAGATTTGATTTTTTGGAGAACGCATTTGAGATAAATAGTCAACCCAAATTACATTTCTACTGAACAGACATTTTTTGGCCGTATTGTACTTGTGGAATTCAGCCATGCCTCCCCACCAAACTCCAAGTTATCTCCTAGAGGATTTTTAATGACTCATATTGTTGTTGGTATTTTTTCAGCCAGCAATCCGCTTAAGTGTTGAAGAGTGCTTCTGCGAGAGAATTCAAGAACTGTGCTTAGGTGAGTGTCTGTTGACATTTTCTTCATTCAAGCATCAGAATAGAGCAGTGATTTGGTAGGAGACTGTTCCTTTTTTCTATGCATTGAATCTTTTTGGTCCAAATTAGAAACCAGAAAACGTCATTCAATTACCTCTACGAAAAATATCATCCTGGCCATGATGGTTAGTCTTCTCAATTATCCCTTCTAAAACAATATCCTCCAAGCCATAGTCTCCTCAATTATCCCTTCTAAAAATATCCTCCTAGCCATGATGGTTAGTATTCTCAATTATCCCCTTAAAAATATCCTCCAAGTCATGATGATTAGTGTCTTCAATTATTCCTTTAAAAAACCTCCTTGCCGTGATGATTAGTCTCCTCAATTATCCCATCTCAAAGATAACGTCCAAGCCATGATGGTTTGTCTGTTCATATAATCAATAATAATAATGTTCAATAATCCCTTCTAAAAAGATACCTCCTTGTCATGAGTGTGAGTCTCCGCAATTATCCCTTCTAGAAATTATCCTCCAAGCAATTATGGTAAGTCTCCTCAATTATCACATCTAAAAATTAACTTCCAAGCCGTGATGGTTTGTCTGTTCAATAATCTCGTCTGAAAAATATCCTCCAAGCCGTGATGGTTTTTATTTCAATAAGCCCTTCTAAATAAAAATATGCTCCTAGCCATGATGAGTAGTCTCCTCAATTATCCCTTCTCAAAAAAAAATCTTCCAAGCCGTGATGGATTGTGTGTTCAATAATCTCTTCTAGAAATATCCTCCTAGCCATGATGGGTGGTCTCCTCAGTTATCCCTTCTAAAAATATCCTCCTAGCTATGATGGTTAGTCTCCTCAATTATCCCTTCTAAAAATATCGTACAAGCCATGATGATAAGTCTCCTCGATTATCCCTTCTCAAAAAATATCTTCCAAGCCGTGATGGATAGTGTGTTCAATAATCTCTTCTAAAACATATCCTCCAAGACGTGATGATAAGTCTCCTCAATTATCCCTTCAAAAACTATCCTCCGAGCCATGATGGTTTCATTCAATAATCCCTCTGAAAAATATCCTCCTAACCGTGATGAATAGTCTCCTTAATTTTCCCTTCTGAAAAAATATCCTCCAAGCAATGATAGTTAGTCTCCTCCATTATCCCTTCAAAAATATCTTCCTAGCCGTGATGATTAGTCTTCTCAATTATCCCTTCCTTATCATCCAATCCATGATGGTTTTCATTTCACTAATCCCTTCTACAAATATCCTCCCAGCCGTGATTATTAGCCTCCTCAATTATCCCTTTAAAAAAATATCCTCGTGGCCATGATGGTTAGTCTCCTCATTTAGCCCTTCTAAAAAATATCCTCCTAGCCATGAGGGTTAGTCTCCTCAATGATCACATCTAAAAAAAATATCTTCCAAGCCTTGATGGTTTGTCTGTACAATAATCTCGTCTAAAAAATATCCTCTAACCATGATGGTTTTTATTTTAATAATCCCTTCTAAAAAATATCCTCCTAGCCGTGATGATAAGTCTCCTAAATTATCCCTTCTCAAAACAATATCTTCCAAGCCGAGATCGATTGTGTGTTCAATAATCTCTTCTACAAAAAAATCCTCCAAGCAATGATTGTTTTTATTTTAATAATCCCCTCTAAAAATCCTCCTGACCATGATGGTTTGTCTCCTTAATTATCCCTTCTAAAACAATATCCTCCTCGCCATGATGGTTAGTCTTCTCAATTATCCCTTCTAAAAATATCCTCTAAGCCATGATGATTAGTCTTCTCAATTATCCCTTCAAAAAAATATATCCTCCTAACCATGATGGTTTTAATTCAATAATCCCTTCTAAAAAAATCTTATAGAACTGCGCCTGGAACACGCCTTTTTGAACCGTAGCCTTTTTGTTCGTGGTCTTTGAATCAACATGCGATTCGGTTTCAAATTCTCCCTATTATAACTAACTTCGTTCGATGACGTCATAATGCTGAATTGTCGCAAAGACGTTTATGGTAATTCACAGAATATCTATGGCTGCAGACCAGCAAATAAACTGCCATGGACCTCAGTGATAAATACCCCAACTTGTAAAGATCAGGACAAATACTCACAACTCTCAAAGGTGTTTGAGACACCCATCAAATTACAGCTTATTTCATCATCTTTCATTGTCTGTTCAATTTTTGCGGTATAATCCGATGACCTTTAGGGATAAAAATTCCATCGGAAGATGATGACCCTGTAGTCCTGCAGCCAATCGCCCAAGGCACAATCTGCCACTTCACAAAACACTGAACACTCAGGTTTATTAGGACAAAAGATATTGCTCAAACAGGGGTAGATCCTGGAATGTTTGC